ATTCAATTTCTTGGACCCTGCTGGCTAAGCTTTACATACTGGAAAATAATCCTGGTTTGGCTATTGATTTGTTCTCCATATGGTGGACTTCAATTCTCCCGATCACGTGGCACTGGCAACGGCTATTTCAGCTTGCACCATGTTAAAGTCTTTGCAACAAGGGAGAAAATTTCATGATATTGCCATGAAATATGGATTATACTCCCACATTCTGGTGAGCAATTCACTCTTGAAAATGTATATTGATTGTGAACGAATACAAGATGCTCGGGAAGTTTTCGGCAGGATGGTATCTAAAAATATAATTTCTTGGACGGAAATGATTCGTGGTAATGTGAAGAAGGGACGATTTAATGAGGGCTTGAAACTGTTGAGGCACATGAATGGAGATGGAATAACACCGGATTCCCGCTCAGTTTCTACTGTCCTCCCCACTTGGGCGAGAATGGCTGCTCATAAGCATGGGAAAGATATTCATGCTTATTTGCTCAGGAATAGAATTGACCTTAACATTACACTGCAGAATGCTGTTATGGACATGTATGTTAAATCTGGGTTCATAGAATTGGCATCAAGGGTTTTTACAGGGATGAAGGAGAGAGATGTTGTTTCCTGGACAGTAATGACAATCGGCTATAGCTTACATGGACAAGGAGAGTTAGCAGTAGAATCATTCCAGAAAATGGAGGAGGAGTTGAGGATAGAAATAGATCAATTCCCGGAAGCTGCTGCCCTACTTGCCTGCAATGCTGCACTCATGGTTGACAAGGGAAGACTGTACTTTGACCGCATTAAGGAACCCAAAGTAGGACACTATGCTCTAATGGTTTCTCTTCTTGCAAGAGCTGGGCTCTTCGATGAAGCAAGGATCTTCATTGAGGAGCAAGGGATTGAAAGACAGGCAGAGGTTCTCAAAGCATTGTTAGATGGGTGTAGAATCCACCAGCAAGGGAAATTAGGTAAGCAAGTAATCAATCAGCTTTGCAATTTGGAACCTCTTAATGCTGACAACTATATCCTATTGTCAAATTGGTATGCCAACAATGATAAATGGGACAAGGTTGATGAAATTCAACAGTCAATAAGAGACATGGGTTTGAAGCCTAAAAAAGCCTATAGTTGGATAGAGCTCAAAAATAAAGTTCATGTATTTGGGACAGGTGATGTGTCTCACCCGAGATCAGAGCGAATATATTGGGAGTTAAAGTGTTTGATGAATGAAATGGAAGGGAAAGGGTATAAACCTATTACTGCTTTCAACCTCCATGATGTGGATGAAGAGAGGGAGTGCATTCAGATTGGGCACAGCGAGTTGTTGGCAATTTCTTTTGGGCTTATCAGCACACAAACTGGTACTACTATACGTGTTACGAAAAACCTTAATGTATGCTGCAGTTGCCATGATTTTTCTAAGTTCATTTCTAAGATGGTGAATCGAGAAATCGTACTTAAGGACCCCAATCGCTTTCATCATTTTAAGAATGGTTCTTGTTCATGCAGGGATTTTTGGTAAATCTCAAATTCCAGTCAAACATTTTATCGAATTTAATTATATTGTAGTCTAATGTATAACTTCCTAATCGGATTACATTACAAATTTGATGGAAATAAACAAATATAAACAATTTTGATTAGAAAACTCAATTTTATATTATATCAGCGTCAGCATGCATGATTGGAAGGTTATGTTTTGGAAGAGTTCTTTCTTTTTTAAAGGAAAAGAAATGAGAAGAGAATAAAGCAGAAAGAAGCTTGTAACCTTCTTATTTTATACCTATTTTATCAGCATTGCCATGGCATAGAATAAGCAATACCGGATCTAGGTGGGATCCAAGCCATGTGTATTGTATTTTCGTGGCCTTTTAATCTCACTTCAGTCTAAGCCTCTCCTCACTACAATAATAAATTTTAAATTGAACTCAGAAACTAACAGATCAGAGCACTAATAACTAGTGATCCAGTTTGTGGCTCTCTATAAATAGAACGTAAAAGACTAATCCAAAGATTATCATTATGATAATAATTATAAAAAAAAATTAGTTATTCTCAATAACTAAATACTTAATTAGGGTACGAGATCAGAGGCAATACTGCAGTATGATTCCTAGCAAGGTACTCACCATAACCTGCTGAAAATTTTTACAAAATAATCAGGGGTGATTTCCATCCCAATATTTCTTTCGTACAAGTCCCCTCTAAGGAGCCTAGCAAGTGGCCTACCAAGTAATTAACCTTCGGGGACACCTGATTACTCTACGCTCTTGATCCAACTCAAAGCTGACACCAGAAAATTCAGTACTTGAAAAGAAAGGCTTCAGATCAGTGATTTCATATTCCTGTGCCTGCACAATGTGGTTAAACCCAAAAGTTAGATGATAGTTTGCAAGGACCAGTGCAACAGACACCACAACTGGAAAGTTTAAGTCGTCATTACCTTCATCTGGAGATCTTCTATCTTCACCTCAATTTTGCTGAGCCCTGAAGTGGAACCAGAAACAATTTCTTCGAACTTCAATGCATTCTTTATAAGCTCTTTAAGAAGTCTGAGCAGCAGTCCATTATAATCCTTCTTATATGTAATATAATGCCTGAAGCTCTGTAACCAGAGATCATAACCTTCTTAATTTGTAAAACTAATACAAGAGACAGGTAAATATGAACCACATACCATGCAACCAAACAAAAAAGATCAAATGATCACATTATTATGAATTAGGTTGACAAACTATTGCGGTGCTACACCTGGTCATGTGATTGAAAAGGTCAAAATACCACTGCAAGGAAAAGATCTAAGTGATCATATTTGCCAGTTAGTTCACTGCAGGAAAAAACATTGGCTAGAGTTTATTGCTGAAAAAATCTCATTTCCATGTAAATATCTACCAGGCTGAAGTAACCGTGGTTTCAAGGAACATTAGACATTCTGGTATTATTACACCAGAGACATACTGATAGGGTTAGTTTAGGGATTTGGGAGAATAAGAACAAGAAACAATCAGCACCTGATGTAATAGGTAGCATTTTACCTAAACAACAAAACAGAAGGAAAACATAGCAGCTTCATGATTTAATACCTTACGAAGAGCTTTCTGCACTCCGAACTTCTGTGTTGAGATGAATGAATCAAGAAGGACCCGGATCGCCATGTCAACATCTTCTTCAATGATATGCTGTCGGAGGTGCATTCTAGCATGTGCTTCAGACATCCGGATCATTGACTCTATATGCCTCACAGCAATAGGGACTCCTTGTCCATGCTGCATATAAACAAGGAAAGTTAAGCATAATACTCTGAGCAAAACAATAAGAAACAAGTCAAGTAATCATTCTCAAGTAATCAATAAGAAACAAGTTTGCAGTGAGCCTAACCGAGGATTCTTTCCGCAGTTGGGCATAAACAGTAGTTAGCTTCACCATGTCTTTGTCATGCAACCTTGGGAAAACATTTAATTTAGCATATGTAATGTATTTCTTCAGCAAATCTTGAGGAAGTATCTGTAATAAGAACCGGAAACAAATATCATTTTACCATTACAAACCAAAGGAAAACAAACTAGTTCAGACTCAGTCAAATATTAAGTACAAACCTCTGGATCAACTGGCCTCGCTGAGGCTTCAATATCCTCCGGGAGTTCGCTTAAAGACTTATCATCCATGTTAGCACCCTTTGGTTGAGATTTGAAATGACTCTCAACGACGAACTTCGCAAGCATCTCATCTGTGACAGGGTCAACTACATCCTGCAATTAACAATTTCTTTCCTGTTAATATCAAGTTAACCGGTGAAATGTGAAGACATAAGAACAGAACATGCAGGATAATAACCTTGACAACACAGAGGATGTCAAAACGGGAAAGGATGGGATCTGTCAACTCAACATTCTGTGAAAATGTTTTCGAAGAATCATACCTGGAAAAGGAATACAGGTTAGCTTGTCAGTTAAACTCATATTAAATGCCTTGAGAGAAACATGAGTAATACTGGTGGTTGATGGCCTTTTTTCCCCACAAACATGTGGTTGATGGCTTTACAAATGCTAAAAGGAACAAGAAGAATAACAGCTAGCGAGGGGGGATGAGGAGATTTGCAGCCAATTATGCAAAGATTTTTCACATGCTCAAGCTCATTTGATAAACTAAATTTAGCAGAGAATTTATTCTTTCAGAACATTGGAGAAGATTCACTTCCTTCTTAGTTAACATTATCAATTTGCATACCTTCCGCCAATTGGGTTTGCAGCAGCAATGACAGAGCAGCGAGCCTGTAGAGAAGTAACGATACCAGCTTTTGATATGCTAATACTCTGCTGTTCCATTGCTTCATGGATACTCACCCTAATTTTGTCATTCAGAATGTTAGCTTAAGTGGGGGAGTGGTACTTGCTCTAGGTATCTGATTCAACATATTAATACATCAACTTGAATCCCCATACCTGTCCTGATCATTCATCTTGTCAAACTCATCAATTAAGCAAATTCCTCGATCAGCTAAAACAAGGGCACCTCCTTCAAGAGTCCACTCCCTTGTCACTGGGTCCTTGTGCACTGCTGCCGTTAGCCCAACAGCAGAAGCTCCCTTACCAGTAGTATACACAGCTCTCTGCCCAGTCTTTTCAACATACCTGGAAAGATCCTTAAAAAATTGAATAGAGAGCAGCTTACTAGTGAACTCTGTAACATAAGGATTGATAAGAGTTTTCCTTACTTAAGAAACTGAGACTTTGCTGTTCCTGGATCACCTAGCAGAAGAACATTGATGTCTCCTCGCAATCGGTGTTTGCCTTCAACATTTTTCTCTTGGCCTCCAAACATTGCAAGGGTTATCGCAGTTTTTATGTCGTCATGGCCATATATTGATGGGGCAATTGACTTGATAATCTGGAAAAAAACAACTAAGTTTTATCTGGATGAAACAAAAGGAAAATTGCTCAACAACAGGTAATCTTAGGGATACTTGACAAACCCTTTCTCCTATTCGAGGGTCTTTAGCTAGCTTTTCAATCTCTTCTTTGTCTTCCTGAGTAAGTTTGTATACAGAAAAGAGGTCCTGCTTCTTTGTTACATAGTTTGCTTCCACCACAGTTGCAAAGACAGGGAATCCGTTCTTTGTGTTTAAAGATAAGTCAAAGTTATTAGTGTATACACCTGTAACTTCCTGAAACCAATCAGAGACGCAAAAACAGTTGTTATAAAATACTTACATAGACAATGAGCAGGAGAAGAGAAGAAACCCCAAAAAAAGCACATACAATTTCTTCTCCCGGGCGAGCACAATCAATTAGATCGTTTAACAGTATCACTTCCTTGTATCTAGGAAGTCGACCAGCAGGCACAATTCCTGGGCTCTCTTGGAGTGTAAGTTTCTGATAGTTCCTATATATTGTCTGCAAAGAGATTGAGGTATAAATACTTTCCAAGAAACAATGCTAAAGCAGACCCATAAAGGTGAATACATAAAAATTAAGAATTTTCACCTGTTCAATGTTAACAGTAAACGGTCCTTTTGATTGGCATTCGGGGCAAGAACCAACCTTGACTTCTGAATATGAATTCTGAAAGAATGGTCCCAATATTGCGCCACACTTGTTACAGTCATATTTTACCTGTTGCAACTGGGGGAAAACACCTGAACGTCTAGTCACAACTCCCCCAATGCGGATCATGGTGTTCAAATGGATCTGCCTAATTACCACAGAGAGGATAAGTCGACGCCATGTTGAACAAAAAATTCCATAACAGCAGCAGATAAAAAGAATATATATGTTCCATTACCTTATGTTCCTAATCTGATCATAAACTGGTAAGTTAGTAATGCGGACATAAATCTTTTGGTGTATATTTCTGTAGTTTGGATGCAGATCAAAGACGATATTTTTGCCAACATCTTCCATTACTTCTAGGACAGACTGAGGGGCATCAGCCAGCCAGATAGCAATATTGGGATGGATATAGATGAACTGTTTGTAATCAATCTCCAAGCTACACTTATTAGCTGCAAGTAAAATGTAGAAGCCCAACTGATAAATACATGCAGAACTATATTTGTGTACATCAGTAGCTCGAGCAATATATTCAGGGAACAAATTGCAGTGAAAAAAAGCACCAAAGTTAAATACATATGAATATATTACCTGATACCATCTCATTTATCAGCCGTATGTACTCGAGATCACCATGTTCATTCTTAGGATTTACATATGTAAGCAAGAAGTCTTTGAACTTCTTGCCAATGAATCGTCGGACTTCATCTCTTGTAACCCATTCTCTCAATGTTCCCTGGACGCGATACATCTCGAACTCAGCATCTTCAGTATCCTCATCCTACAGTTATGAAACCCAGGAGTGATTAGGCACAGAAATGTCATCCTTTTTTACTATTTCAGTACCACTTCTTGAAATTACAGTACCAAATATTGGATCCATACCTCATATCTATAATCATCTGTCGGGTCAGTCATTGGCACATCCTCCCTGGAGTATCCCTGCTGTGACCTTCCTGGTGAGCTTTGCATTGCATCAGAATCATCATTACCTCTATGTGCAGTTGGAGGTCGGAAATCAGCTCTAAACCTCTTTGAAGGCCTGTAGCTGCCATCATCCGAATCTGCAACCAAAGGGGAACATTGAGAAAAACTGTCATTGGTACACCTCTTTCCTCAAAGAGCTAAAACACTTTCTATCACAATTCACGCTCTATAGATTTGTAAGTTAAATTGAAAACATATGTTTATCCTCTCTCTCTCTCCAGAAAAAAAAAATGCAAAGGTTGTGAACAAAGGGATATATATATAATTTATCCAATAGTTGTGGCTAAGATAAACTTTAAGTAGCACTTGATTAAGATAGATCTCTAGATACGAAGAAATGGAACTAATCCATTGGACAATGAAAGACTTGTAGCTGTGGCTTTTGCTAGCATGAAGACTTTGGGTTCTAGATTTTGTTTTGACGTCTGTAACAAATCAGGAGGTCTACACAGAAAAAGCCCACCGGTGAAGACACCTAGTTCCATAGATAGAAGCACACAACTTATGCAGCTTATTCTGAAAAAGAGGGTAGTGAAGAAAACAATTATGGTGTAGGTTCTGTGCAGTTTGATGCATCCAAATGCAACATTAGAGTTTATTAACAGTTTTTCAAAGCCAAAACACGGCCAACCATACTATTATTTGCTATTTGGACGTACGCAATAAGGTCCTATTGGGGCATCTAGACATGTAAAAGCTGCTCATTGAAGCAATTTTTGCAAACATCGTCGCTACAGAGTTCTTCTGAAGTGCCAGAACTCAATTCACTAATCTTCCACTTCCCAAAGTCAAGAGAAGCCACTCGGACATACTAGCAATGTACAGTTTTCCACAACAAATGCAAACACTGGGGTGACCATTGGTTATATAATGATTCCAGAACTCAATTAACTCAACTTATACATGGTTTTATTCGGTCTAAGGTGACCGTTAGCGTTCGGATTTTTTATTAGCACGCAGCCAATAAGGGTTCCAATCTTATTTGATAAGATAGTTTACTCAGAAAGTGTAATTTACTGAGTTCGCTAGACATAGCTGATGTTCTGATATGTTACCGAATCTATCGACATGGCAAATAATAGAATGGCATAAAAAGCGGGAAAAAAAATAAAAAGAGGGGAAATTGGGGAAGTGAAGAAGATAAATGACTTTTCCCCTAAAAAGAGGTACCTGGCCTTAATAAAAAGGAAAACAATACCTTGGTCGTGAAGAAGCTGAGGAAGCTTCCGATTTGAGACGCGAGCATCACGACCATCGAGCTCTATCTCGGCAGCCCTACGATCCTCCATGATCCGGTCGATATCCCTCTCGTCCTCCAGTGAATCATCGATCCCCAGTGATTCGTACTGGTCGTGCTCATCCATCTGGCGGTAATCACTGCCATTTCAATTAAAGACACAACACAAAAGTACAAATCATCAGCAACTTGCTAGCTTTAGAGATCAGAAAGATTTTCACAGAGTAAAATTAAAAAAAAAAAGGTGTATACATATATATATATATATAAGAGGAAAGAAAAGAAAGCACGGACTCCATGAAATTGTCGTTGTAGAGGTCCTCTCCTTCCTCCTCCTCCTCGAGGTCTTCAGGCTCGTCTCTGATGACATGAGGATCGACTGCGGCCTCATCGTCTTCGTCAGTGAAATTCTCGGATGTATGGCTGGTGTTTGGCGGCAGCTGATCCGTGTTGAATCCTGCAGATGTCGGAGATTCAGGCGTCGAAGGTGGATTCCCTGATTCTTCTCCGGCCATTTTGCGTACAGTCTCAACGATCTATATGACTTATCTCTCTCTGGCTTAGTCTTATTCGATATGGCTTATGGTTTATGTGAACTCTCCACTATCATATTGGGACCATAACCATTGTTGTTTTGGCGGGAAAAGTTGGCGCCAATTTGATACGCCCCTGTTTATGGACCCGAAGAATGGCTCAGAGCTGGTATGGGCCATAAACTAACCATGAAAGAATATTGTCACAGGATTTTAATTTTAAAATTAAATAATAAAATTATTTGTAAATATATAATGATTACAAGTAATATAATTTTAGGTTGAAGAAGAGTGAGGGTAAGAAATTGTGGAGGAAAAAAAATGAAAAATGAAAACAAGTAGGGATATGAGAAGCTACTGATGTAGCTTTGGTTTTTCCAATATTTGTTCGATTTTTAAAAATAAAAAATAAAATATTTATTATTATTATTGTTGTTGTTATATTCATATATTTAATTTAAACTAACTATATTTTCCCTAAATACATTTTAATTTTTACCCCAAACCCAACCTAAATTGGGATATCTTTTTCCAATTTAAAAATTGAAGTCCAAATACATCTTAAAGATTAAACAAACTATCCCTAAGTATCTAAACTCAAATTCAAATCCTTATATTTAAATTCAATTCAAAAATCTTAAACGCAATTCAAGGTAAAACAACCTAAGAAATTAAAACCTAACCTAAGGGAGGAGCAAACCCAGTTTTGATCCACTAATTTATGGCTTCACCCACTAACCCAAGCCATCTCTCCAAAAATAGCCAAATGGCACCATTATGAGTGATATTTTTATGCCTTCTTCTGTCTTCGAAATTGGTAATAAAAAGAAACATGACAAATGATTGAGAATGAGTAATTGAGAGAAACATAATGGAAGAGATGTGAAATAGAATAAAATCATTAGAGAAGAAAAGCAAGCAATGCAAAAGAAAGAGGACTGGCGCGGAAACGAAATGAAAGACAATCAACCAAAAATATCATAAGAGAGCATGTCAGTAAGTAAAGAAGATATCATATCACATTTATTTAATATTTTACTAACTTTTATTATTAACAATAAATCACAATATCATATCCATTTAAAAATAGATCATATTTACTCAATGTTTTGCTTATTGTATAACTTGTTATGTGTTTTTTGGTGATTTTCCATCTCACTTTAGTTTTTACTATTTTGATCCTAAAATAAACAAAATTTATATTATTCAACATGTACACTTTGACGAAATATTTTTTTCCCTTTAAATATATTGTGTTCTAGGTGTTATTAGATAACAATATCAAATAATGTCTTTTGCTCCTTGATTTAACATGCAACTTTATTTTTGATACATTAGAAGATATATCTACCATACGAGTCTCGATCTCCTTTACTCTAGATTCTCTAGTCTTGGAGAGTCTATTTCATCTCCTATTTTTACTTACTATCTTGGTTTTACGTTAGTGTTGCACATACTAAATTATAATCATATATTCCTATCAAAGTCACCTGGCTTGAAGCTTTTAGTTGATGTTAATGTTGGATTTTTTAAATTTACTACATGAGCATATATATAAATTACTGTACATAAAAAGTTATCAAATTAATTAGATCTGGTTAAAAGTGATTCGATATAGTTAAGGATATAGTGAGCCTTAATTGTAATGCACAAACTCTAATAACGAGGCCCAAATCTACTCATATCATTCTTCATCCAATGGGCTCACAAAACATGCATATGCATAGCTTAAAAGTTTAACATAAAACCTAACATTCTATATGATATTTACATTATTTATATATATACAAAATATGAGGTAAAAATATAAAGTTTAATAAAATAAGATAGTAATTTTCAGAATATGAATAAAATATACATGAACTATAACAATTTCACAAGTTCTACTCATCCGACAATTGTTCTGGTTCTTATTCCTCATCTGAAAAATATCAGTGTGAAATTTAATAAGTTTCACCAACTCAATAGGTATTTATATTATTCCAAAATCCAAATCAAACATCATGCAAAAACACATAATATATGACAGACGTTTTCAATACAAAATTTATTTACAATTTTTCACAATTTTCTAAACCCAGAATTCATTTATTAATCATAATTGTTTCTGACATCCAAATTTCACATATTTTTAATTGAATTTTTCAGTTATACTCAAATATCATTTATAAATTCGAAATACCACCACATGCACTTAAAAGATCATATATACAATCGGAATGTCATATCTACGGCTTTATCATGCGATGTTATTTATGTCATCATTAAGGATAGGCGAAAAAGATCCGCTCATCACATGGATAAAACACACAATCTCACATTGGTCGCACCAGTTATATTTGCTAGGTGACTTATACGCTCACAAATAGGTATTCACATCTGGATTAGGTTCTAATACTATCCATGTACAGGTTCATTATACTTGCTGAACTTCAGTCACACATGGATTTTTTCCTCATCGATTCAAACTAAACGAGAAAGGTATTCAGGGTTTATACACTGCTCACTCATGTCCACTCATTGTTTTCTAATTCCTTCCTTTATTTAACTTATCAATTTTTATTATAATTAATTTAGTTATTTTCATATTGCAATCTTATTTTATATTGCTATAACTCTTGAAATTTTGTTCTTTTATTTTGGGTCACATAACAGTCATGCAAGTCCACAATTGCCAAAAATAATAAAATAAGCATGCAACCATCATAAATCAAATGTCATGAACTCCCCCTAGCAGGCTCACGCTGCCTGGATGGTGTTTGGGTCTCTGTTCTTCTCAGTATACCAATGAAGTATTTGTACTAGACTCAAACACACAAAAATTAAGAGTACACATGCATAAACTTTTAAAATCCTAATCCAGATTTGGAATGAGGAAATACTTTCAAAAGTCCCTAAAACAGATTATGTTCAACTTGATCAACTGCCTAGAATCACCACATATAAACATAATCAGATTTAATTGATATAAATGAATTAAACCTAAAAAGAAACTACTAACAGTGGTGATTTTCGGTAATTACTAATAACAAGTTCATTCTTCGACATTTGGTGAATCACCACTCCAATTCCTTGCGTAGGTGTGGGTGATTTATTTTTCAAAATCTATATATATATTAACATCTATATTCACAAAAACTCCACAACGAAAAAGGAAAAGTAAGGTCACTAGATTTAGGTTCAATGCTG